GTGCCGCTGATGCTGACGACATCCGAGCAGGCGTTGCTAGGGCAGACGAGGTGGAGTACAAGTGTCATGATGGGAGTTTTCCTGATCAGCCGTTGAGATACTGTCCGCTTGTATGACGGGAAGTGCGGAATGACGTATTTGTCATGCCGTGTTCGACATGGATTGATTTTCCCGGTGAGCCTTTGTAGCAGCCGGAAGAGTTTCTTCAACAACCACCAGAAGCATTTTAGTGCAGGAGAAATGAGGCGGCAGGCGATTAGGGACAGGAATGAGACTGTTGCTGTGATGACGATTTCGGTTGTGGTCCAACAGTGGAGATTGAAGACGTGTTTCCCAGCAGAAGAAGCATTCGATTAGGTCGCAAATGGGTTTTCCTTCACAGGTAAGATCGTTTACGAAGATCTGTTCCCCGTCTTTCCAGGCAGCAAGCTTCACCGTATGTTGGAATAGGGTTACAGACGTGGGGAGTAGGATCTTGGTGTCAGGCAAGTAGTTGGATATATAGATGCAAGTGAAGGACGTACATGCTTCAACCATTTGGAATGTCTCCGTTGTTTCGAGGGTGACTCCGCCGGTAGTGCATTTCGGTATAGTGTATGACGTAGGTAATTTCAATGGTGATGTTTCGAGAGCTGGATAATAGGTGCGAGTTGTGGTTCCCCATGCCTTGATTACGATGGAGTTATTTTCGTGACGATAGATTGTTGCAGGAGTTGGATGAGCACAAAAGCTGTTCGCTTGGTCGAGGGCTCTGCACTGATGGCGCCTGCAGTATTCTGGTGTTCCTGTCGTTGACGAAGGATGTGGCGTGGTTGTTTGGTTGCCCTGTATATCGAAGCAGTAGAAATCGTCGTGGGATAAGATGTCGGCGGATTGAATATGAAGCTCCGGAACGATGATGAGTGTTTCATCGAAGAGCTGGATTTGATGAAATACTCCGAGTCTTTGTTCGGATGAACAAAGTGTAGATGGTTTAAAGGAGCAAACGTGAAGTGGTAGGAAGGTGGCGATTGGAATTGGAATGGACGAGTATCTTGATGTCGCTTTCAGTATCCCATCGTAGTGACTGCATGTTGTTGTCCAGTCGGGACAGCTGCATTTATCGTCACAAAATCTGGAGTTGGGTTGAAGAGGTCGTGGAATCCGGATATGACCAAGTGGGCACGTAATAGAGAACCAACACATTGTTCTCCTGTTTGAGAGCGTGGTTGTTATGGCGATGGCGATTCCATTGGAGGAGCACTGATCGGCATGAATTATTTGTCTCGATGAGTGTGATTCTGTGCATTTCGTATCGGGGACAACATAGAAGTTTGAGCTCGTTGGTACCGTGAAGCATATAAGCAGGATGGCGAATGAGGTGGAGAGTTGTCGAGCTAGGCTGCGTGTCATCATTGGATGTGATCTTGTTGTGATTCGTCGTCGATGTTCCTTGTTGGATTCGTTTTCTGATTTACTCGTTGAGCTATCGGAACTCGATTGTTTTGTAGGTGGGATTTCCAGTGGGTATAGCAGACTCAGAGGTCGGCTGATGGTGTGACCGCTGGGAAGTTTGACGATGGCTGATGTATCGGAGTGGCTCATTATTCTTCCTAGTTTCCACTGGCCTCGCGGTCGTATGTCATCGTGGACAAGTACTATCTGGTCATCGAATGGAGATTCTTGTGACGTGTGGAAAGGTTGTTGATGTTCATGCTGGAATCTTTCGCGTAGATTTGTCAGATATTCTTCATTCCATCTTTGCCAAAAACGATTCCAGCAGCGTTAGTGTTGCATTCCATTGCTTGTGAAGGAAGTCTTTCGGCGTTTTGTCGGGTTTCCATTCGTCATCGTCGTCAGTTTCTGCGACAAGACGAGGTGAGCCCACTATTGAGAGGGGGCGCAAAAAATCAATTGGTCGGAGTGGGTATCCGGAGTCCGATGTCACTGTAGACATAGGTGATTGGTCTACTATTGACGATGGCTTCACATTCCTTCATGAGCGTGGCGAATTCGTCGTAGTCGAGTATTCGATTTCGAATTGCTGCTTTGAACGAAGTTTTGAAGATTCCAATCATTCTCTCATAAACGCCTCCTTGCCAGGGTGCCAGTGCCGCGATGAATTTGAAGCGTATTGCGTGAGCGGAGCAGTAGTCAGTGATGTCCTGGCATTGTGTGCGAGTTGTCGAGGACATGGCATCGGAAACTGCCGTGAATGCTGATGCGTTGTCCGACATTAAGTATTTGGGAGTCCCATTAGTGGCGATGAAACGACGCAGAATGTGTAGGAAACATGCGGCACTGAGAGAATTCGCTATGTCCACATATATGGCTCTGGTGTTGAGACAGGTGAACAAGGCTATCCAGATTTTCGTGGTCTCATTAGAAATTTTCAAAGCGAATGGTCCTAGATAATCCACGGCACTATTGAAGAATGGATAGGGAGGGCGTTGCACTCTTTCAACTGGATGATCGGGAAAAGGCGTTAGGCGAAAGGGTTTAGCCTTCTCTTTTCTACAGTAGAAACAGAACTTCTTAATTACTCTTCGTACCTCAACTCGGCCTTGCGGTATCCAGATTCGCTGTCGTAGCACTGTGAGCGTTTGTGAAGTTCCAATATGGTGATGTTCCATATGTTGAAAAGAATGTAAAGTTCAGTGATCCAGGTACGTCGCGGTAGGATTATCGGATTATTCGCGTCGAAGGAGAGAGATGAATTGTCAGTTCTTCCGCGAGATCTCCACACACGGCTGTTGGCGTCGAAGTATGCTCGGAGACTCGTCTTCTGGCTGGATGAGATAGGGTTATGCAGTTGCGCTTGGCGAAATAGAGCGATGGTTGCTGCCACATTGTAGTTCGGTTTTTGTGTGTTCGTTCCTCTTTTTCTTGCGATTGCTACTCGAATGTTGGTCAGGAATAGCAAGACCATTTGCATGACATTCAGTAGGGAAGTCCATGTGCGGAACGGCAGCGTATTATCGATGATAGGCACTTCTTCCTGTGTTGTTATGGCAGTGGATACAGTTTCTATCGTCGATCCCTCGCTGATGTCTTGTGTCCATTTTTCCATGCCGTGTTGTAAAAAGGGAGGTCCGCTCCACCATAGGTTGTTTGAGCGCAAATCTGCAATCGTTGTTCCTCTACTGCCGATATCAGCTGGGTTGACATTTGTAGGAACATATCGAAGAACTGCGTTCGGTGCGTTTTTCTTTATCGTCTTCACGCGGTTTTGAATGAAGATCGGTAAGTTTCCGGACGTTTTCGACCATTGGAGAGCAGTTTTGGAATCAGACCATATGTGTTGCTGATTAATGATGACATTCAGTTGCTTGTTGAGATGACTCATGAGTGTCGCTCCCAAGGCGAGTGCACTGAGCTCCAGGCGCGGAATGGTGACTGTATTGTGGAGCGGTGCTAATCGAGTTCGTCCCATTAGTAATTTCACGTCGACATTTTGTCCATGTCCGATTCGAAGGTATGCTACGGCACAATAAGCATGTTGTGAGGCATCCGTGAATATGTGAAGTTGTAAATCACTCGAAGAGGTGTCATGAGGAAGGATTGCACGTGGGAGTTCTAGGAATGGTTGGGTCCAAGACGAGGTGATGCTGTGCCATTTCTTTTGTTGATCTTCGAGAAGTAATTCATCCCATCTTAGATGATCTTTCCATAAGCTCTGTAGGAATATTTTGGCGATGACTGTGATTGGAGAGACGAGTCCAAGAGGATCGTAGATGGAAGCAACGATCTTGAGAATTTGCCGTTTGGTTGGGTGCTTCAATTGTTTCTGTAGGAATGGAAGGCGGATGAATATTGTATCTGAACTGACATCCCATGTAAGTCCTAGGAGCTTCGTAGTTTTGTCGATAGGCGTTTGCTCAAGAGATTGAAGCGTTTCGTTGACTTCTTTGTTCGAGGACGTCCATTCGCGGCAATTCATTCCTGCAAGTTGAAATAGTTTCTTCGTCTCTAAGTATTTCTGTGATGCTTCGTTCGGTGGTGACGCAGACAGGAAGACATTATCGACGTAGCAGTTTTCCAGTATTTCATTGGCGAGAGGTGTTGCTGTTCTCGTTAGGTGTAGATGGATTGTTGCTGCGAGTAGGAAAGCACTGCATATCAAGCCGAATGGTATCCGTTGAAAGCAGTACGTTACGATGTTTTCCTTGGTCGGTGGTTTGCGATGGTCCTTGAGCCATAAAAATTTGGTGAAGTGGCGATCGCTTTTTTCGAGTCCAATCATTAAGTAGGCTTTTTCTATGTCGCCGATCAGTAGGATTGGAGCGGAGCGGATGCGGAGTAAAATTCCACTGAGATCTGGCAGAAGAACAGGACCTTTATAAAGGCAGTCGTTCAGGCTTGGTGCAGCATGTACTCGTGCACTTCCGTTATAGACGAGACGGATCTTGGTCTGCTTTTTTGATTCATTAATGAGGCATGATGTGATAGAAATGTGCCTGATGTCTGATCTTGTGTCGGTGGAGGCTCGCCAATAATGCCTCGTCGAAGCTGGTCCTGTATGATGTCGTTGTATCGGTCCAGATATGAGGATTTCTTCGCTAACGTCTTCCAGTTGGAGCGTAGACAAGCTAAGCTGTGGTCGAAGTTGTTGGGTACTGATGTCCGTGCGATCTTGAAGGGTAGTCGCGTGTAGTAGCGACGTTCGTCTTGGTCGTATCGAGTGGTACTGTTGAAAAAGTCGAGACAAACTGTGTCCTCGGAGCGTGTAGCTCCGTCTTCTGGTCCGAGAGATTCGCATTTCCAGAAGCAATCAGTGTATCCAGCTGTGTTTTATCGGGTGGATGATCCTCGGAGCTCTGGATTGCAGAGTTGATTGCTCGCGTATTGAGTTTCTTGCCTGATATAACCTTTCCAAGCCGTGTGTTGAGCAGATGATAACCATTTGGCAGAGTGATGGAGTAAAAGGATGGCGAACAGAACGAGGTTCCAGAAGTGGTCCATGCCGATCAAAATTCCCGGAGTGGATGAGGTGGTTGGAATGTCGGCACCGTAAGCGTCGATCAGTTGGTGTATCTAAGGAACGCTGATGTTTTAGATGGGCCGGGCCTTGGTGAGTCACAGGCAAAGGACTGAGCGGAAATCGTGTATGGGGTTTCGTTGCTGAGCTGTATCTGGACGGTGTGAAGATGGGATTTCAGTGTCGTTGGAGAAGATGTTCCAAACGTGTGAAGCGTGATTGTTTCCGGTGTTGCGTGATGAAGCTCCAATTTTTCCGCAATTTCTGTTGTGATGTAGGTATGAGATGAGCCGCTATCGAGAAAGGCAACGGTGTCCACTTTTTTGGAGTTGTCATTAGGGTTCATCAGCGTGATGGTGGTACACATGAGAAGAACGGGTGCTTCTGAAGACGAAGTGTTGCCGCTGATGTCGTCGATGCATTGGGAAGCGGTATAGGTCGAGGGGGATTCGTTGGTCTCAGGGTGTTCGGGGGGTTTGGTGGGAGTGGGAATGGGAGTGATTTCGTTAGAGAAATGGATTTGTTGGGAGGGACGGGTTGGTCCGCGTTGAGTTGGATTGGTGTTGGTGGGATCGGGTGTTGCAGGGTTTGTTCTGGTTCGATGCGTAGTTTCGCCAATGTTGGGATAGGGGGTTGGGTTGGGAGGGGAGCGGTTGGGATGGGGACGGTGGTGGGAGGGAGTACGATTCTGGGTAACGAAGGAGGATCCCGGATTCACTGTTTTGAAACACAACGCGGGGTGATGATGGTATTGGCATTGGTGGCAAGGTGGACGGTTGCATAGGATAGTTCGATGTCCTTGTTGTAGGCATTTCAGGCACATTTTGCTCGCTTTTGCGAATTTGCGGCGTTCCTGTGGCGATTTGACGGTGCGACAGTAGATGGCGGAGTGCGATGACCGTTTGCAAAATGGACAGGATCTTGTGCTGTCGAGTGAGGAAGTGGTTCTATAACTTCGGTTCCCGAGGTGTCGTTCTGGTGGAGCTTGAGACTGACGGCCGAACTTCGTGGAGATATGGTATGACAGTTGATGAGATGTAGTTGACGCGTCGATTTGTCGTAAGGTCGATTCCTTTCGAACGATTTCAGCGAGTAGTGTCATCAGTTCCGAAGGGGTGAGATTCTTTTGTCCTCCAGTAATGTCGTAAATTCTCGCTTTAACGAACCGTGGAAGTTTGTTGTACAGGAGTGCTCCTAGGCCGAATTCGGGTGAGTCAGGTGTTATGGCAGTATATTGGCGAACAAGTCGAAGCATTGCGAGGTACAGTTCTTGTAGCTGTTTGCCGTCGGAGTCGCACTGAGGTAGACTTAGGAGCTGGGTGTAGATAAGATGACGCAGAGTAGAGGGGTTGTCATAGATGGAGAGTAGGATGTCAATGGCGGTCGCGTAGTTCTCATTGGTAATTGGAAGGCCGTCGATAGTGTGCAGTGCGCGTCCTTTGAGACAGCTCTTCAGAAGGGAGAATTTTGTCGCATCGGATATGGTTGTTTTGCAGTGGATCAGTGCACTGTAGCGAGCCCAGAATTCTGGGAATTCCAGCATATTTCCGGCGAAGGATGGTAGTTCAAGACGTGTCAGAAGAGAGGCGTCGAAATAGTTGAGGTTAGAGTTGTCGTTGGCGATGGGCTGTGGATGGTCGTTGATGGTCGTCGTGGGGAGGAAGGGCGACTGATGATGTGACGTAGGTGCGAAGCTGACTGTATGAGTCGATTTCGTATTTTCTGAGATGCTCTCAGGCGTCGTCTCTTGGATTTGCAGAGCGGCTGATTGGTAAGTAATGCCTCTTTTTTGGAGTTCCTCTTGGAGAGGATGGTGTGCTGGTCGAGTCGTCGAAGAGTGTCGATCGCATGTTCGATTTCGGTGCGGTAGTCGCCGTACTTGGAGATGAAGTCGTGGAAGATCGATACCTCGTTGGCGTCTTCTTTCATCAGAGCGGTCCATTTGGTGTTGAGATCCTCGAGTTTCAGCAGCTTCGTAGAGATTGATTCGTAATGAGTCGCATTCAGTTCGGCATAATCGAGTAAGTCGTCGTTCGAGGCTGTTTGCAGGAATTCGGTGAGGTCGCTGTGAAGATCCTCGTCGCATATTTGGCGCGTTCGTAGCAAGTGTTTTCGTACGATTCCGATTGAACGGCGTATTTGCGAACTCATCGTCGGCGCTTGCAGGTGAGACGGTTGGTACGATTGTCGTTAGGGTTAGATCGTCGGCGTTTGCAGGTGAGTCGTTTGTCGCTGTCGTCGTTGGCGTTGTGGCGTAGGACGATCAGGCGTTGGTGGCCGTGGTCGCCATGTTGCGGAACGATCACGGTTTATATCTTTATTGGAATGACCGATTGGGCATCTGCATGCCCAGCTTTTATATGGAGCGAATTGAGTCATAAACGAAACAATTTCTTCATATTCTTCTTTAATATGTCGCGAATTTCTCAGAAAAGGATGATTAAGACGTCGATCTTGGCGATATTATGAAAATGACACATTTCTCTGAAATTTCAATGTAGTGTAAAAGCTGC